TTTTTCTTGAAAAAGGAAAGATGGGGATGGGACAGCATTATCGGTCACCTACCGCATTCTCGAAAGTCATCACATGATAAACGTCTTACTTTAATTTTAGGTTAAATTTCTAATTTGATTTCTTAATTATTGTATAGATCTTTAATTTAGTTCTTAAATTAAAAATATTTTTAATCTCGATTGTTTATTAATTTAACTTCAAGTTAGCTCTTTTATTAAAAAATAACTGATATATCTGTTATTTAAGGGTAAAAAGCCATTAATGATCATGTGTCACATTAATAATAAAACACATCATCTATTTTTATATGAAAGGATTAATTTGGAATCAAATTAGTAAACATTAGAAACCAAATTAAGAATGTTTTTAGTTTAGGGACCAAATCTAGAGTCTGTATAATAATTAAATGATCAAATTGAGAGTTTAACCTTAATTTTAATCGATTTCTTCTGTTTACTTTATGGGTGTAATTATAGTTATTTAATATTTTAATATTTTTTAAAATTACATAAAAAATATTTAATTTAATTAATATTCATAATTTTTTAAATAATTTATTATAATATTTAAAAATATTAATTTAAAAATTAATTTAAATTTATTAAGCACTCAATATTAATTGTTTTATCCATTATTAATGATTTTTAAAAATTAAATCAAACAAAATTAATTTTTATTGAATAATATGATATGATTTTAACAAATTAATGGATGACCACTATCATCTCTTTAGGTTTGTTTAGTGCAAGATTAATTTTATTAAAAGTTTTTACTAAAAAAAAAGTAATTAAAAATGTATTGTATGAAAAATTAATAAAAAAACTTTTATTGAAATTTTGTTAATATTATTAACTTTTTTGTGTTAGATAAAAAGTTGATATTCAAAAAATTAGTAAAAATATCAATTGAGTCATAAGAAGTTAGAGAGAAAGTCTTCTCTTTAAAAATGTTGAAAAAAAGATTGTTTATTGAAAATTATGTTAAAAATAAAAGTTAAAAATATTAATTTAATTCTTATTTTATTGAAATATATATTAAAGTATGTACATAAATAACATAAAAAATTCAAATAAAGGGGAAAGTTGAGGGAACTTCCCTCCGACCAAACCGTCCATTTGTGTTTGTGTAATTTCATGGTGACAAAAAAAAAAAAAGGCACTCTTAATTAGTGTAATTAATTGCCCCTGAAGCCCTAAATTATCTAAGCAATTAGGACTAAACAATAAGAATCCCTAAAAGAGAAAACAGAAGAGTTGTCTGCAGGAAGGGGGAAGCGTAAGGCTTACGTATCATTAAATAATCAGCTTAGCTTAGCTTAGCTTTTTAAAAAAAATTTAGCATAAAACTCGAAGTCAACAATGTAATTAATTACAAAAGAAAAAAATGATTATATGTGATTTAGCCTGTTATAAATGTGTAACCCAGTATTTCACCCAGGAAGCAAACATTCCAGTGTTTATCACAAGGAGTTTCTGAGGCATGTAAGAGATTTTATGGCTATGTAGCTGTAATTGTACACAAAATAACCTAAACGACCAGCCAGCCTTTCAAGGCAGCTCCAGATGGTGTACTTTGACGGGCCTGCAAGACCCAAGGTTGACGGTTTATTCTGATACCTAAGTCAATATATGAGGGGTTTAGTAGGATAGGCTGGACAGTACCAATAAACTAAAGTACAATGAATGTACCTTTCATGTGATGGTTGAGAGTATTTATAGCTCTCAAAGATGCATTTTCACATGGTTATTTCCTCTTCGCAAATCATGTTCCATTGTAATGTACTATAATCTTATGGAGGCCCATGCAGATGCATTGATATTTCAGCTTCAGGTATTTAAATACATACCAGACATGATATCATCTTTCAGGGACAGAAAGGGTAGAGAAGGGATGATAGGTCGGTTGGGAGAGGTCAACTACCACGAAGACCGAAGGGACTACTTAAGGCGGTGGCCAGCGGCCGTGTTTAGATCAGTCCCTTGCAGTAACCAACTACCTCCTTTTTTTTGGGATTTTTTTATTTCCAAAGTGAGCTAATTTTTGCAATGATGGCTTCCCTGGATTGTTCTTTCAAGAAAGACACGCTCTTATTATTCGTTTTATTTAGTTCTTGCCCTGCTACTCGGCAGGATTGTTCATCTTGGGTTAAGGCTCTCTTTTATGCATGTTCTGTATTGCCGTTGTGCATATATATTTCATTTCTCCTGAAAGAAGTGATAGTGGCGTGTAGTTTGATAAATTCAGTTTGCCTCGATGATGGGGGGTTTTTGAGTGTCGTCATCATCTCAGGAAGCAAGTTTTTTTTGGACACAACAAATCTCTCCCAGTGTCGGCAACTCCAAGGATATTTCAGATATGATTCCAAGTAACAGACGTTATTTTATTTATATTAGTTTTATTTTTAGATAGGGCATTATTTGCTTTTAACTCTTTTAACAAAGTTCGCAATTTCGAAGTTTTTCCATCTGGTGTGTAATTTTATTTGAATATATAAGTTTTTTTTATATAAAGAGAAGTAATTATTTTTTATTATTTATTTTATTTTATTTATATGTCATATAATTTTAATTTAAAATATTTTACTTTTAGTAAAAAAAGATAATTACTTAATTATTTAAGTTATTAACAAATATATAAGTTTTTGTGTAATTTTAAATTAATTAATTTTAAAATTATAGTATATCCTATTTCTATTTAAAAAAATTTAAACACCAAAAATCTTAATTATAAGATTTCTTATTTCACATTTATTTTAAAATTATAATATGTCATGTCTCTATTAAAAAAAACTCTTTTAACAAAGGTAATTAAATTTTCCTCTACATAACAAATATGATGGCATTGAAGACGGTTGCACTGCAAGTTCTACTATACCTTTAGATCTGTAATTTTCTTAATTATAAAATTAGACTTACGAGAATTTCACAATAAAAAATTGACAATGCAGAATGTGACCACGAGGCATAAAATCATTATTCCACTTACTTTTTTGTTTATGTGATTGAACGCTAAATTGGATCATTGGCATCAAGACGTTAACTTTCCTTGCCTTCTAAATAAAAAATTCCTCTAAAAAGTTATTCAATAGAAAAGATTCCATTCTATCGATTCATCTTTTAAATTAAAAATTAAAAAGTTAAATTTATTCATAGGCAGTTAATTATATACAAAATTTGATATCATTTAAAAATAATCTTTTTTAAAAAAATACACATGAATTGATTTGAGAATATAATAATAATAATAATAACTCAAATCTTTCAAAATGCATGCCAACCTTTGTTCAAAAGCCAAACAACTAAAAAGAAACCAAATTACACTAGAATTTCCAGTTACATTTACATATCCATAGAGCTTTTCATTATACTAGCAAAAGATGTCGAGAGATCTCTATTTACATTCAATTCCTTACCTCAATGCGTTTGACTATCATTTACACGTCAAAAGAATGGCCAACATGTCACATACTTGTAAAGTTGAACAGTAATGATCCCAAAAAAATCTTAATTTTTAAGAGAAATGTATATCATCCTGGCATGGCCAAAAGAAATCATGAATCCGTATATCTTTCAACCCATATACCGTTTCAAATGTTCTTCACGCAAGTAACAGCCGCTACTCATTTCCTTCACAAGTAATTGTCTTTGGATAACTTGTTTAAGAAATGACCTGCACAAAACTAACCCTTGGATGGGAGAGGAGATTCCCACATTTAGAGGCCGCACCTCCATCCAGACTGAAAAAATAGGGCTCAACTCATTTATAACTTCTAGAGGACTTGTTTGGTAAAATTTCTTAAAAACTTTTATTTTTTTAATATTGTTTATGAGTCATAAATTTAAAATTTTATTTTTTTTAATATTATTTATGAATCATAAGTTTAAATTTTTATTAAAAAAAAAATTTAAAAATTATTTTTAAAAATAATAAAAAATAAATAAGAAGTGAATAAGAAAAAAATTTATAAAAAGTAAAAGTTTGAAATTTTTCAAAATTTATTGTTTAAGATTTTTTTAAAGTTAAAAAAAAATTAAAAAATTAAAGTTTTGAAAAAGAAAGTTTAAACTTATGACACATGAATAGTATCAAAAAACT